CACACACACACACACACACACACACACACACACACACACACACACACACACACACACACACACACACACACCCTTCTTGTGTCCAGAAAAACAAGGAAGGGACTCTGAGGAAAAGTGGAGTATGTCTCAGGCTTTTGGAAACACATAAAGATAGGAAAGGCTGATGTGACCTGAGCTGAAGGGAGACAGCAACAGGCTGGAGGCTGGGCAGGATCCATGCTGTCACTGAGGTGCTGGGAGCTCTGGAGCCCCAGGAGCCTCCTGTCCCTCCTCTTGTCCTTGCTTAGGTCCCTGAAAGGTAGATGGGGCTGTAGTAGGACTATGAAGGAGATTCCTTCCAGCTGTAGGATGCTCTGATTCCACACTGTCCACGATGCTGAGGAAAGCTGCTTTTAGGAATGAACCTGCCCAGTGGGTTAACTTGACTTTGCAAATTATCCTTTGCAAATTTTTTTCTTTACCATTCCTTAATATTTTAAAATAAAAAGCTGCACCTAGATAATTAATATATTATCTGCTAGCATCTGCTATTCCAAGAAAAAGAAAAAAAAGAGAAACATTACTCATAAGACCTACTACTTCATAACCTTCCTTTAGATTTTCAGAAACCAGAATATCTGGGGTCCTTCAGACAACACCAAAATGTACATACATGAATTTTGAGAAGATGTTCACTAGCTATACAACAAACAAGGGCCTCAGATCTAAAATATACTTAGAACTCAAAAATTAAATCCTCCAAAAACAAATCCTCAAAGAAACAACCACCCCATTAGTAAGTGGGCTAAAGACTTAGAGACTTCTCTGAAGAAGAAATAAGAATCACAGATAGACAAATGAAGAAATGCTCAACTTCTCTAGCCATAAAAGAAATGCAAATCAAGCCTGACCCTGGTGGCTCATGCCTGTAGTACTAGCTACTCAGGAGGCTGAGATCTGAGGATTGCGGTTCAAAGCCAGCCAGGGAAGGAAAGTCCTTGAAACTCATCTCCAATAAAGAACCAGAAAACCGGAAGTGTTGCTGTGGCTCAAGTGGTAGAGTACTAGCCTTGAGCTGAAAAGCTGAGGGAACAGTGCCCAGGCACGGAGTTCAAACCCCATGCCTGGCAAAAAGAAAGAAAGAAAGAAAAGGAAAGAAATACAAATCAAACAACAAAATTGAGATTCTACCTCATCCCAGTTAGAATGGCTAGAATCAAGAAATCTAATAATAGATGTTGGCGGGGATGTGGCCAAAAGGGAACCTTACTGCACTGTTAGTGGGAGTGTAAACTTGTTCAACCATTCTGGAAAGAAGTATGGAGGTTCCTCAAAAGACCCCACGTAGAGCTCTCCTATGACCCGGCAATCCCACTTCTGGGCATTTTCCCAAATAATCACAAACAAGGCCATATTAAAGCTACCAGCACAACTATGTTTATCACAGCATTATTCACCATAGCTCAGATATGGAACCAATCCAGATGTCCCTCTATAGATGATAGGATTAAGAAAATGTGATAGATAGATAGATAGATAGATAGATAGATATAGATGTAGATACACACACACACACACACACACACACACACATGTACAATGGAATTCTATGCTTCCACCAAAAAGAATGACACTGCCCCACTTGTTAGGAAATGGAAAGACTTGGGAAAAAAATCTTAAGTGAAGTAAGCCAGACCCAAAAAAATATAGGTCCCATGGTTCCCCTCATTTGCAATAATTAGTATACATCTAGGAGAATCTTATCAGATGAGCAGAAAAGCTCAATAGCTATGTACATATGACTATATAGCATGATGCTAAGTGAAATGAACCCCAAATTATGGACACAAGAGGTCTTTCTTTGTTGTTTTTGTTTTTAATGTACTTTGTAATTTTTTTGTTTCTTTTGTATGTTCTTCCCCCTATGGTATATAGTTGTTGTCACTGTACTTGATTTCGCTACCCTGCATCTTGTATATACATTTGTCTAATTTGGGGAGAGGAAGGGGAATAACAAAATGCTGAAACAATGACACAGGATCATTGCAACAATGATACCCACAAGACATTATATTGGAAATGAACTTTACAACTTTGGCGGGGGAGGAGTGAGGGAGATGAGGGAGGAAAGGGATAGTGGAAGAATAACAAAGGAGGGGGTAACAATGCTCTACAAGAAATGTAGTCATTACCTTACTCATGTAACTGTAACCCCTTTGTACAGCATCTTTAAAATAAAATTAAATTAAAAATATTAAAAAAATGAATCTCTAAAGAAAATTTTCATTTTTGCATACGGAGATAGGATTAATGATTATTCTAGCACTCTTCCATCTGTGGCTAAAAATCCACTCTCTTAAACTTCCTGTAAAAGTCTTTTCCTAACATAGAATTGAGGATGACAAGCCATTTTCCAGTGAGATAGCTTATTCTGATAAAAGTTCTTTCTCTGTCACCCACATGCCTTCTTATTAAATGGCCTCTGACCTGTGGTGAGAAGACTGATCCTTTTATGCTGAACAGGAACACTATTTGGCCTGTGTAGGGACATCCTTCAGGTTGTGGCTGCTGCCACCTTTTCTGAAACCCAGACAAGCCCAAAACACAGACTCTCCATAGGTTGGACTTTCCTGTGGGGCACTAGCAAACTCCCAGCTGCTCTTCACCTCAGAGATACCTACCTTCTGGCAATGATAGTTTCTGTTATTAGCATCACCTTCAAAGGGTATGCTCATGAAATATCTATGCAGACGAATGTCATGGCCCATATGCAAATAAAAAAGAATAAAAGAAATGTGTTCTCTCTCTCTCTCTCTCTCTCTCTCTCTCTCTCTTTGGTTAGTCTGGGGCCTGAACTCTAAGCCTGGACACTGTCCCTCAGCTCTTCAGCTCAAGGCCAGTGTTCTACCACTTGAGCCACAGCACTACTTCTTGCTTTTTCTGCTTATGTGGTGCTGAGAAATCAAACCCAGGGCCTCATGCTTGCAAAGCAAGCACTCTGCCACTGAGCCACTTTACCAGCCCTGAGGAAATGCGTTCTCTAAAGCCAACATTAATGAGCTTGAAGAAGAGTTGACTATTTAAATAATTTTAATGTTGAACATGAGGAAACACTCCTTCTCCCACTGGGTTCCTTCTAGAATTTCAAAGCATAGTTCATACTGACTCTAACATAGGCAAGCAGAATCTTGGAGTTCATGATGATTTAAAAAGGAGAGGCTTTATATGAAGAGCAATAGAAAGGGCCTATTTTTGTAAGCATTGTTTGAAGACAGCAAAGGTCCAAGCATCACTGGGATATTATACACCTGGGTATGCATAATACTAAAGCTAGAAGAGGGGCATCCTCCAGGTACCTGGAACAGTCACAGTGCAACTGTGGCTCACCAGAGACTACAAAGAAATCAGTGAGGTTTTTTACCTTGAGGATATCAGCAGCTCTGGGGGTCAGTGGAAGGAGGAAGACTTTGATGAAGAAGGAGCTGTGCCTGACAGCTATTGGAGTATCCCAGAGTACAGTAAGGCTGGAATAGTGCGGTACTCATCTCGAATCTCACAGGAAATATTGGCATGGATAGTTAGACTCCCTTTATGTACTATCTTGTGTATTTGAAGGAAATCTGTAGGAAATGGTGTCCTATATGAGCAGATGGAGAAATTAAAAACACACAGTTCACACTATCTTTATCTCCTTTGCTTCCACAGCATCGCTATGAGGCAAGTTTTATTCTTACTTAAATGAGAAAATATGACCTGATTATAATAAATGTGTGGTTTTTATCTTTACATATGCTATTCAGAAGGAATAGGGATTCACATTTCTTTTTTTTAAGGATTGAGAAATATTTATTACCGGTCACATCTATATAGGCTAATTAACAGGTTTCTTTCAACATTGTTTCACATTTTTCAGTATACTGTGTGTGGAAAAATGAGAATTCAGATAAAGCAGAAAGTAAAAATAAGATTCATCTAATTTCTTAATACACAGATAGCCAGTGTTAAGCTTTTGAAGTATATACTTTTAGTTTTTTCTTTTCATATTAACATATAAATATGTGTTTTTACAAAAATGAGATACTATATATACTTTTTAAAAATTGCTTTTTTCACTTCACAATATATAATGTACATCTCTCCATGCAAATGGACACTATTCTGATTTTAGAAGGTTATAAAAGAAAGAATTTTATGTTCCTTATAAGTCAAACATCTAAAATGAAGTTTCACAAGATGTTAAAAGTAAGAAAACGGGAAAAGCCATGGAAGAAAATGCAAAGCGAGTCCAGGTGGCCATTCTCTTAGACAAAGCAGCATGAAAAGTAGCTCCCATTAAATGGGGTATGGACGGCTCCGCTTTGCCTTCCAGTGCATTATCATCAATTTGTTTCTTACTCTTTTCATCTCTTCCATGTCATCGGCTGCCTGTATCATTTCCTCATTGCTTAAATTTCTGCCATGTATGTCCCCTCTAAATTGTGGGCGAGAACGAGCCAATCTCTCTTTGAAACTTCCCTCTTCCAGCTTGTGTTTGCCCACGCCGCAGGGAGGCTGCTCCATGGGAGGCCGCTCCTCCAGCAGGGCCTTGACAGAGAGGCACTGCCGCTGGGGGCGCTCCTGTGACAGCAGCAGCTCCGGCAACAGCTCAGGCAGCAGCTCCTCGGGGAAGAACTCCTCCTCCTCCTCTTCCTCCTCTTCCTCTTCCTCCTCTTCTTCCTCTTCCTCCTCCTCCTCCTCCTCAGAGGAGCAGTCCTCCGAGGTCTGATCCTCGTCCGAACTTTGCTTTTCGGGAGGCTGCTCCATCGGAGGCTGCCCCTCATTTGCCTTTGGAGCGCTCTGGGGTTCTTCTTTCTTTTCTTGGCATGATTTTTCCATGGTGAGGATTTTCTTCTCCAAGCACGGTTAGTCTTAAGAGACAAGAAAAGGCAGCGTAAAGTCACAATCCTTGGCAGGCTGGACCAATGACTTCGTCACGGGTTCCAATGCCTGTCTTTCCCTGTTACGGGGCCCAGGTCTTTAAACAGTGGCTCCGTCGCCCCCCTCCCAAAAAGCCCACCATTTCCCCAACAGGCCTTGCCACAGGCCTCTCCCGCTGTGACAGCGGGCGGGATAGTGGGACCCAGGACTCCATTCCATTAGGCGGTCTCCAGGACTGAATCCCAGTCCTGGACCACTGCTCAAGCCTTTTTGCCACCTGGTCCTCCTGCGGGAGTGCACCTAGTCGTCCCCTCCTCAAGGTGCCGAGTTGAGAAGTGCAGATCTGCAGAAAGACGCCCGACAGGGTATGGGGGCAGGGAGAGAGGCGGAGACACAGACTGACGCACACCCATTTTTCTGGACACCACCAGCCACCCCCATGAAAGCCCCTTTGGAGTTTACCTCGCTTCTCAGACACGCCCTCTTTCCTCCCCCGCCCCCCCCCCAGCCCAAATAAAGCCTTGTCCTTTGTACTCAGGCTTCCCCACCCGGCAAAGGTCATTTTAAAAAGTTATTGCCTATTCTCTGTACCTCCCCCTGCCAGAGGGGCTTCATTCACCTTCCCATCCCATCTCACCCTCAAGACCACCATTTTCTGTACTGAAGTTGTTGACTCAGGGGGCGGGGCTGGAGCCTAGGAAAAGCCTGGACAGTCCATCCCTATCTGATCCCAGAGGTTACAGGATAGCACTGCACTGCCAATCACACGAGTTCAGAGGATTTAAGGAACTTACTTCCTTCTGCTTTCCCTCTCGACCCAGGGCTATTAGGGAGATGGTGTCTGGACAGGCAAAAAAGAATCAGGACGAGAGGGACTTGGGCAGACATAGGCTCAGAGTCACGTGAGGGCTGCACGTCACTGCCGAGATCCGATCCCTAGTTACCACTTTGTCCAGCGACCATTCCCTAGAAGCCTGCCAGCATCCTGATCCTAGACACAGCGGACATTGTCACTCACCTCTTTTGGTTTATATCCTTTTTCTGGCGGGGAAAATTAGCATCTGTTCCCTGCCTCTTCCTGTCTGCTGAATACCACGTCCCTCCCCCCACCTTCCCTCAGTTACCAAGGCCACACACACACACACACACACACACACACACTTTCCCCCCAACCCTTCAGATACAATATTGAAATTGGACCGTTTTACCTTCACGAATTTATAACAAGTTCTTTTCTCAACAAGCGATGTTTTCATCTCGTCATTTGTCTAACAATCTTCATTTTCTCTTCATATCACTATTTTGGGTTTTTGAGTCCCACATTTCTCTTACAAATACTCTAAATTGGTAAGCATTCACTTCTAGACGTCTATTAAGAATATAAAGTAAAACTAAAAATACTTGGATTTTCATAGATCAAAATATACACGTTTCCTTCTAAGTAAGTACAATCCAGAAAATATATTTATTGCCTGAAATAGGAGCATTCTTGCTGTTAATGCACAGCATTCCTTTCTCTCTCTCTCTCTAAATATATATATATATATATATATATATCAAGTTATTCATAGCAGGAATAAAAATATTTTACAGGACTCCAAGCCCTCTTAATGCTTCTGATTCAATTGAGAAAGCATATATTAATACATTAAATCAATTATTTGCTCCTGGGGCTGTTGGACCCCAAAAGGTAGAGCAAAGAAGATATTTGCTATTAAATTATGCAATAGTTCTGTTGACTACATACTGAATAGCAGGATTAAAAATATGCATACACACCTATTTTTAGAACTGTGTTTTTTGTTTTATATTTTTTAAATTGATATCTACATCTCTGTGTGTGATGTGTGTGTGTGTGTGCATGCATATGTGTGCCACTTCAACTCAGGGCCTGGGTGCTGTCCCTGCGTTTTTCTGCTCAAGGCCAGGGTTCTACCACTTGAACCACAGCTCCACTTCTGGATTTGGCGTGGTTAATTGATGATAAGAGTCTGAGGAACTTTTCTGCCTGGTCTGGCTTTAATCCTCAGATTTCAGCCTCCTGAATAGTTAAGATTGATTAAAGATATGAACCACCAGCACCTAGGTCATGCCTATATCTTATTTATTCAAAATGCCTGGATGCTACTTTCTCATGAAGATACTCTTTCTTCCAGAGAACAGACTATATCTCTTTTATTTTATACTATCAGGATAAGTGGCCAGCAGAACTATTAAGACTTTTGTTTTTCTAAATCTAGACTGCTTAGTAAATTTCTGAACAGAATTCATGTATAAAATTTCTCATTTCAGTAAATTTGTGTCCCTTTCCTCTGGTGCTTAATTTACTTTGTGATGTTTTCTTATAGATGCCATATCTCAACCTGAGCAGTTTTATTTCTATCTATATTTTCCTGAATTTAAAAAAAAGCTTATTTGCAGAAAGGCTTGGAAAAAATATATTAAGTGAAGTAAGCCAGACCCAACGAAACATAGGTTCCATGCTTTCCCTTATTAGCAATAAATAGTATACATCTAGGATAATCTTAACCAGACAAGCAGAAAAGGTCAAAAGCTATGTACATATGACCATATAAGATGATGCTAAGTGAAATGGACCCCAAGATGTGGACACAGAGTTTTTTTCTTTGTCACTGTTGTTTTTAATGTACTATGTGATTTTTTTGTTTCTTGTGTATGTTCTCCCCCCATGATATAACCCCTGTTGTCACTCTATTTGATTCCAGGGCCCTGCATCTTTTATATACAATTTTCTAATTTGGGGAGGGGAAGGCAAATAACAAAATGCCAAAACAAGGATACATATTGGCCCACTGTAACAAAGAGACATACAAGACACTATATTGAAAATGAACTTTACAACTTTTGCGGGGGAGGAGTTGGGGAGGTGGGGAGGGAGTGGATAGTAGGGGAAAAACAAAGGAGGGGGTGTAACAATGTTCCATAGGAAATGTACTCATTACCTTACTCATGTAACTGTAACCCCTCTGTATAATATCTTTACAATAAAAAAATATTAAACGTTTTTCTTACTTGCAGTTCTGGGAATTAAATACATGCTATACAAACACTCTGTTCCTGGGAAATACTTGCCTTCTCTGAGACATTTGATCATAAATGAGAATTGAACTTTTTGTTTTTTAATTGTAAAATACCGTACAGAAGGGTTACAATTACATGAGCAAGGTAATGAGTAGATTTCTTTTTTTGATGGGTCATGAGGCCTGAAATCTGGGTCTGGGCTGTCCCTCAGCTCTTCAGCTCAAGGATAGTGCTCTACCACTTGAGCCACAGCGCCACTTCTGGCTTTTTCTGCTTATGTGGTGCTGAGGAATCGAACCCAGGGCCTTATATATGCAAGACAAGCACTCTACCACTGAGCCAACCTCCCAGCCCTATGAGTAGATTTCTTATCAAGCATTGTTGCCTCCTCCTATGTTTCCCCTTCCCATCCCTTCCCATCCCTCCACACCCCCCTCCATCCCCGTCCCCCCATCCCTGTGCCAAAGTTGTAAAGTTCGTTTTTCGACATAACGTCTTGTACATCTCATTGTTGCAATGGGTCCACCTGTATCCCTATTTAAACAGTGAAGTAAGCTAGGCCCAAAGAAACATAGGTCCCATGGTTTCCCTTAATACAATAACTAGTATATGTCTGAGACAAGCAGAAACCGTCAGATAAGTTGATGTTAGGTGAAATGAACCCCAAGATAAGGACTCAAATATTTTCTTCTTTATTGTCATTGTTTCTAACATATTTATAAGATATTTCTTTGTTGCTTTGTATGTCCCTCCACCGCGGCATAACCTCTGTTTTCACTGTATTTTATGTTGGTATAATTTGTGGAAGGGAAGGGAGAATTGAACTTTTTATCAAATGCTTTTTATGTCATCTATTGAGATGGTTATATATATTATTTTTAATTGTTATTATATATAAATTATATATTATATAAATAATATATAACTATTAAATTGTTATTATATATAAAGATGATGTACAACAGGGGTTATACTTAAATAAGTCAGGTAAAGAATACATTTCTTTTTGGATAATGTCACCACTTTCTTTGGTCTTTCCCAGTTTCCTTCTCCAGTCTCCCCACCCACAAGTTACATAGTTTACTTTTAGCGTAATATTTTTTGTTATATTAAAATACTAAGTTATACTGACTTTCAAATATTTAATAAATTTCACATTCCTGGAATAAACCTCACATGAACGTACATACATTTTACATTTTCCTATATTCAACTTCCCAACATTTTGTTGAGAATTTTTGCATATGTATTCTTGAGGTCTGTACTTTTCTTTATATTGGTATCAAGGTAATTCTGACTTCATTATATATGGAGGAAAGCTTTTCCTCTAAGACCTTTTGAAAGAATTTGTCTGAAACATGTATTATTTAGAACTAGATACCATGGCTCAAACCTCTAATACCAGATACTTGGAGATTAAAGGATCAAGGTTCAAGCCAGTATGGGTAAAAACTTTCATGAAATTCCATCTTTACCAATGGCTGGGAGCAGTGCTGTAAACTCTCTCTCTCTCTCTCTCTCTCTCTCTCTCTCACACACACACACACACACACACACACACCAAAAGAAAACAAAAAACTAGTATTTTCATCCTTGAATGAATTCTTTAGTGAAGACAAATGGGCCTGGAGTTTTCTTGGAAGATTTTTAAAAATAATTTTCTCTTAAATATATGGATAATTGTGTGTTGGTGCTGAATTGTATTAGCTAAAGAGGATACATTATGAAATCCATATACAATGATGGCATTAAATAGCTTGGAATTGGCCATGATTTATACCATGGGAATCAATGTATTTTATTTATCTATTTATTTATACCAGTATTGAGGCTTGAATTTGGCCTCACATTCTTACTTGGCTTTCTTGTTCATGTCTGGGCCTCTGCTATGGCTGGCTTTAAACTGCAGTCCTCCAGATCTTAGCCTTATTTATTTATTTATTTATTTATTGTTGGTCGTGGGCTGTAACTCTGGACCTGGGCACTCTCCCTCAGCTCTTCAGCTCAAGGTTAGTGCTCTACCACTTGAGCCAAAGCACCACTTGGGGCTTTTTCTGCTTATGTGGTGCTGAGGAATCGAACCCAGGACCTCCTGCATTCAAGACAAGCACTCTACCACTGAGCAACCTTCCTAGCCTCCAAATCTTAGCCTTCTGAGTAGCTAGGATTATGGTAGCTAATTGTTTCTGTGGTTTGTTTTTTTTTGCCAGTCCTGGAGCTTGAACTCAGGGTCCTGGCACTGTCCCTGAGCTTCTTTTGCTCAAGGCTAGCACTCTACCACTTGAGCCACAGATCCACTTACAGCTTTTTCTGAGTGGCT